GCGAATGATCTTTGCGATGGAAATCTGAATCCCAGCCAAGGAAAGCTGCTTTACAACTTGGCGACGAGAGCCAAGAATCAGTACCATCAGCACATACCGATGCTCGTCGAACATATTTGCAAAAATCGCATTAAATCTGACGTGCAACTTTTGGGTGAGTTTCTCCGCAGATTTTGTGTAAACCTTAAAATCTGAGGCGTCGTTCTACGTTTAGCTGCCCAGGAATTTCTTCTGCATCATGCAACCGTCTCCTTTTTGCCAGAGGAGTTCGAGAAGGCTTGCGGGATCGGCATTGAAACGACAGCCGCAGAAATCGAGGAAGCAGTACGAATTCATATTTTTTAATAATTAAACACTAATTAACATGAGGTGCATCTAGCCCTGCAAATGCTATAATGTCATGGCGCCATTGCCTGCTTAAAGGTTCCTTTAGGCAACTACGATCAAGGGGGTGATTTGGTCTTGGAGGAGTCATGCATTAATTATCAAAATACCCTTTAAAATTATTCTCGTTATGCATTTTTGAATTTTACACACAACTGATAAACAAATACAAGAAACATAGGTTTATATTTTTGAAATTAATACAGCAGTGATCTCCTACGAATGGAGGTTTGCTAGTCAAGTTTTTTTCCAGTTATTTTCTTGGGATTACTTCAGGTAAAAGTTGTGCAGTAGATCAGTAGTTTGCCTTGCACTTTAGAGGTTCCAGTTCCAAACTCCACGCGCGGCGTAAACTTCCTCTTGTTAAGTGCAAATTCCCTTCAGCTAGAAATTTAAATTTGCCCCACTGTTCTTACGTGCAACGAGGCGAAAAGCGGATGAGTAGTAGGCCGCTGACCTACAAATAATGCGAGCAGGATAGTGTTTTAGTATGGTCATGCGCAAGCCGACGACTTATGGCCTGCTGTCTGATGCGCGTACTTCACAGTTCACATTGACCCACCTGGCAGCTGGTTAAAAATCAGCACAAGGCGTAGACATAAATGTAAATTAAATTAATTTAAAATGTCTGCAGTTTTGAACTTTTAGGTCGCATTTGCAGTGAAGACTCATGAAGCTGAGTTACTTGCTCACAGATACGGATTCAACACCAGTCATTTGATGGGTAAAAACGTTGTTTCATGAGGCTTACGACTGGTTTCTCTGGGACTTCTTATTCTGTTGTTGTATCGTTGTTGTTCGGTCTGTCTCTCCTGCTTGTTCTTTGGCCGAGATTTTAATAAACCTGTTTTTTTTATTATCTGTGATGAGGGGTGATACCCGTGAGTGGTCTTTGTGACCTCTCCAGATCCTCGAATAAAATCACTGATTTGTTAGATATTTTTTTGTTCTTTCTTTTTCTTATTGCGTTTTTGTTGTAAAGTACATTTGACATATTCCTTCCTTGATTAGTTACGCACCTCTTGCGCAGGACCCATAGTATTGGTGGCAGGTGTATCCAAATGGTCTGATATACGAAATTATTCAATTTAGGGGAAATCAGGAAGAACCTGCCTTTTGCTGATGGCTCGCTTGTGAAAAATGAGCTCGACCTCCAAATTAGACTGCTACTGGGTCCGAAAACGGTTGAAGAACTCAGCGGCAAAAATTCGAAGGAAGTTAGTGTCCTGTCTGCTTTTGGTTAACGACAAGTTTCATTAATCTTATGTATTAGAAAGGAAGGAAGCTTGACGAGGGGACGATGCCTGCTTCGAAAACAGCCAATGTTAAGGAAAAGAAGTCCTCTGACTTGCAGGCCAATGCTGACGATGCCTCTGCTGCCATTTTCAACGGCACATCTTGTAAGTATAAATAAAATGCCATTGATTACGTTTATTTTCGTTAGTTAGTAAAGGAGAAAGCTCAGTTGAAGAGCTGATGAGAAAAGTCAAGTTTCACAAACCAGGGGAAAATTTCAAGACCGAAGGATATGTAGTTACGCCGAAAACGTTTGAACTGTTGCAGCGCCATCTGGAACAGACCGGTGGCAAAGTTAGTCACGTATCTTGCATCGACTATCAGTTGTGATTTTACGTTTCAGGTCGTGACACGTTTTCCTCCCGAGCCGAACGGAATTCTGCACATCGGTCACGCCAAAGCCATTAGCATTGATTTCGGATATGCGCGAGTAAATTGCTTATGATAATTTTGCATCAGTTCTTCTACAACTGATTTATGCATATTTCGTCTACAGTCTTATTTTTTTACAAGTTAAATTTGTGATTTATAACGCTACATTCGCTGCAACAGTATCCATCGCTATTCCAAGATCAGGACATTTTGTCCTGCGATGGACTGTTTCGCTAACTGACTGAAACTAATATGAAACTAGGTGCTTCCTATTCTGTCACGGAAACACCAAATACACAATGAACACTGTTCACCCTTTAATGTAAGTCAAAGATGCAGTTTGAAACTGTTACGTTGCGTTTTATGTTACGATCTGAATGGCATATAACTGGGTGTCAGTATAGGTAGAGAACAATTTGTCCTCATGCTTCAACGTTGACCTCATCTCTCTTTAATCAGTCCTAATGATGTTATTCGGTACTGACAACGATATGCATTGTAGACCCGACTTCAAAGTTTTTAGATGTCTGCAGAACAGCGTATGAATTCGGTTCACCAAAGAACAAGATTGAAACAGCCTTGCTTTCCGGACTTGCCTGTAACAAGCAGAGACCTTCAGAATGAGAAGCCATTACCTTGGAACCTACGCATTCTAACAAATTTCTAACCCACATCTTGTAACTTTAATCTCATATATGCAATATTGTAAAAATTATTAGACTCGTAGCACTTAAATGCTGGACAGGTGACTCTGCATATCTAACAGCGAAATAGAACATGTGAAAAATTGTTTTAATGAAATGGTAATAGTAAATGTAGCAGCCCACCGAGCGGGTCTGGTGGAGCCAGTGTCTATTCCGTCAGCTGCTGGGAGATTTGTCGAGGGGCTCATTCTCTGTCACAGAAT